ATGTCTGGAATCGTATATGCGAGCTCTTGGGGCGCAGCTTTGGTAAGGATCTCGCCGTACACTTTCTCGGCAATCGGAATCGCCATCTCGATCGGCGTCTCAGTTCTCGGTGCCGCCTGGTAAATCCAATCTTCTTCTCTTTATTCCCTTAGATACAATCATTGACATGTTAATTGGTTGTGTAATCCTTTATTCGTCCTATTTTGATCTCATCAAACCTTTTGTTGTTGTTTGACTGATTTAAGGGGAATTTACATTACGGGAAGTAGTTTGATCGGTGCGGCCATTGAAGCTCCTCGTATTACTTCGAAGAATCTCATCAGGTATGTTTTTGTTGGTCCTTGGTGTTAAATTTATTTCTTTTGGTGGATCAACTGAGTTTGAATTGAAGGTCCATTGAAGGGGTTTCTGGTTTCATCTTTCTGAAATCCAATTAGTGGCCATTTTTAGGAAATTCTGTAGATTCAATTTCTTGTTCTGAATCCCAATGAGAACCCATCGCTGAGCAGCTCATTCGTATTCTCTCCTGGATATTTCAATGCCACATCTCTGCAATATTAAATTGTCACATAAATTCAAGCTTTTATGTAGACGTGTAGATGAATCGTGATTAGAGGAAAAAGTTGTTGACTTGGGATTTAGGAGTTAGAAAATTAGAAACCTAAGGAATCGTCTGGTAGGGACTGTTGCTTTGGTTTGTGATGTAACACCATGGACTGTGAAGGCTCTTGCTTTGGGGATTCAAGCCCTGGATGCTATGATTAAGAAGTGTCTTATGTCTTTCCACGTATTACAAGCAGGAATGTATTTATCTTTGCGATAGTTAAATGTCAAATGAGGGGATAAAGATAACAAGAATATCTGATTTAAAAGTATCATCTGTGGTGATGTAATCCGTGGTGCCTTGTCATTCCGCTCATTGATTCTTGGATCTGAGTCACCTGATTTGTAATTATCATACCCCATCTTTGAACCATATTGAGGAATGCATACCGGGAGTAGTTGTGTTTGCAATTTGATTTGTTGTTACAAGCTTGGAATTAGATGCTCTGTAAATGTAGACAATGTCATGATCTGAACCATCTCGAAAGAGAATTTGGCTGTATTCTCTAAAGGGTGGTAATAAGGAATGCTTAAGTCGGAATAGTTGTGTTTGTATTTTAATTTGTTGTTCCAGAGCTCTAGCCTTGGACTTGGATGCTAGAACTACTACGCAATTGATGAAGCTTTTTTTTTGTTCTCTTTTATTGTCCCAGTGTAATCTTTTGCGAAGCTGTAGCTATATATGGCGTTATTGTTGCAATCATACTGCAAACGAAGTTGGAGAGTGTCCCATCTACAAAGATGTATGACGCCGAGTCTCTTAGAGCTGGATATGCAATCTTCGCATCTGGAATCATTGTTGGATTCGCCAACCTTGTTTGCGGGTCAGTGTCTTCATTCTCTTTCCCCCATTCTTCCTTCCTAACAGTTTTGGTTTTAGATTACATTATCAGATTTCCAACCGAGGTCCACATTTCTTATGCAGGTTATGTGTAGGAATCATTGGAAGCAGTTGCGCATTGTCTGATGCTCAGAACTCCACACTCTTTGTAAAGATTCTCGTGATCGAGATCTTCGGGAGTGCTCTCGGGTTGTTTGGAGTTATTGTGGGAATCATTATGTCTGCACAAGCGACATGGCCAACCAAATAGATATTTGGTAATCTTATTTGCAAATCTGGAAAGAACATAGCTTCTTGATTATCTTCATTGTCTAGAAGATACTTAATGTCTAGAAGAAAACACCTGTGTGAGAACAGAGACCCTCTTTTGGATCTCTAATTTTTTTGTATTGTTTTAAAACTTTGGAATAAGTCACTTTTGGAGGACATCTTCATGTTTGTATTATTTTATCATTGGTTAACTTTTAAAACCAAAGACAAGAGTTTGTATATGATTTGTTGTTGGTTCATAATTTACATTCAGTAAATCTGTTTCTCTATATCGTTATGTTTCTAGTTAGGATCTCCTGCAATTGTTGTCATTGTTCTTAAACTTCAATTTCCGGTAAACAAGCCTACCCAACTAAACCATTTATATAACTCAATTCTATTTACACATCGCTTACAAAGCAGAACCGGTTTATCCTAAACCGAACATCGAAGTAGACAACGTCATTTCGGTATTGTGTTTTTTCAGTGGCTGTCGCGTTCCTAAAACCTGGAGCTTTTTTTTGTTTTTTTGTTGGCTGTGTAAAAACCCTAAACATATATGTAAACCGCTTCATCCTCTGCTCCACCGTATCTTTGCCTTCCTTCTCTTGTTCGGGTTCCATTTCTCTCTCCAATCTCCATATCTTTAGCGACCTCTTCCTCGCAAGCTTTCAACTTTTTTCACCGTACCGGTGAGTGTTTGCCCGTTTCCTTTGTCTTATCTGGGGTTTTAGTTCCCAGAATATTTTAGTCTTTTGTTCGAATTTCCTCTGCTTTGTCTGATAATTGGTAACTTAGTATATGGATTTGGTGTTAGGAGCTGAAAATATGCTCGGTGGATGGTTGTTGTGTCTGATTTCATTCAGTTTTGCTGATAAAAATTTAGTCTTTTGTTCTTCTTTCCTTAATTTGTCAATCTAGTTTAGCTTTTTCTCTGTCGATTCAATTTTCTTTATACTTCTTCTGATTTGTTTCCGCAGTTTTAACATTTCTTTGTGTTGTTCACTTTTGGGAATGTTTGCTTCGTATAAAACAAGTTGTTGACGATTTTACTCTTTCTTGGAGTTGCATATTTGAGTCGACTGTTTGGGTCGAATATTTGCGTAACCAATCTTGCTTGTACAGTAACTGGCCTGTCTGTATATTGTCTTCCTGTTACAATTGGAGTGTAGGAAGTAGAGAAGGAATGCAAGCTTGTTGTGGAGGTACTTCGATGGGGTCTCTTCAGCAATCTGGACGGGTTCAAGGACCTGTCTTTGCCCCAGTAATATCTCCAGTGACCAAATTTTCTCAGCAGTTGAAGTTCAATTTTCCAAGACCTTCCCGTTCTTTGTCTCTTGAAAGAAGCTTGGTCTTTGAAAGGAGAACTTCTTCAGTCTCGGTACCTAATGTCGAGATGAGCAGTAAGAGTTTTTCTTTTCATTTTAGATAATGTGAAGGAAAAGGTTGATTTTTTCATGTGTTGTTTGATTTTTGTTTTTTTTCCCGTTTTGTGACTGATATTTAGGCAGTGAAATCCCTTTTGAGGACTTTGATCTTGGTGAAGTTGATCCAGAGGTCCAAAATATTGTATCAAAGGAGAAAGATAGACAATTCAGGAGCTTGGAGCTTATTGCGTCTGAGAATTTCACATCTCGAGCAGTTATGGAGACTGTTGGATCATGTCTTACCAACAAGTATTCCGAGGGACTGCCTGGTAAAAGGTAATGAAGTATTAAAGATTTGATTTTTGGTGACCTCCTTTTGTTATTCTTGTTACCCGTGTGCTAGATTTTATAGTCTTTCTGTTGTCTATTGTCTTACAGGTACTATGGTGGCAATGAGTACATTGATGAGTTGGAGACACTTTGCCAGAATCGCGCTTTGGCAGCCTTCCGCTTAGATTCTATGAAATGGGGGGTTAATGTTCAACCGTTATCTGGTTCACCTGCAAATTTTGCTGTGTACACCGCCATACTTAGCCCTCATGATCGAATCATGGTTAAGATCTTTTGCACTCTTCACCTCAGCTTTTCTTGTGTGCTTGAGATATTGAATATTAGTGGCTTGTTTGATGCATTTAGGGTTTGGATCTACCTCATGGTGGTCATCTGTCACATGGGTTCATGACTGCCAAAAGACGTGTTTCTGGAACTTCTATATACTTTGAGTCCATGCCATATCGACTTGATGAGTCAACAGGTGGTGCATTTATTATGACATCGTCTCTTCCCTGCAACCATTTTGGTATGAGGCTATCTCTTGATGTCTGAATATTTGAGCAGGCATTGTGGACTATGATATGCTCGAGAAAACTGCTGCACTCTTCCGACCAAAGCTTATAATTGCAGGAGCTAGTGCGTACAGCCGAGATTTTGACTATCCTCGCATGAGAAAGGTAGGAAAACAACCTGACTCGTAAAATGGTTTACGTGTTTTTAACTTGTTTTGGCTATTGGTAGTATCTGATATTTCGTTTTCCTCACAACTTGTATGAATTTCTGAAGATCGCGGATTCAGTTGGTGCTTTTCTGATGATGGATATGGCTCACATTAGCGGGCTTGTGGCTGCTTCTGTGGTAGCTGACCCTTTTGAGTATTGTGATATTGTTACAACTACAACTCACAAGGTATTTGTTCCAGAATCTGAAACATAATTTCCATTTTTATGTTGACCCATGATCTAATAGTTCTATACTTTTCTTTATTAGTCTTTGAGAGGACCGAGAGGTGGTATGATCTTTTTCAGGAAGGATCCAGTTAATGGGGTTGAACTTGAATCTGCCATAAACAATGCAGTCTTCCCGGGTTTGCAGGTTGAGATATTCACCATTGCTTCTCTAGCTCCCTTAGATAGTTAATCTTTCGACGTGATTAAAATCTGTGTGTTGTATATTTCTAGGGTGGCCCTCATAACCACACAATTGGAGGATTAGCAGTCTGCTTGAAACATGCACAATCACCGGAATTCAAGGCTTACCAGAAAAGAGTACTCACCTTTTTGCTTTATCATCAAGTTCTTCTGACCGGATAAATTTTGTAAATTCAACTTATGACATCGCTTTTTGCTTGTTTAGGTTGTGTCTAACTGTAGGGCTCTAGCTAACAGATTGGTTGAACTCGGGTTTAAGCTGGTTTCTGGTGGCAGTGACAATCACCTGGTTCTCGTCGATCTTAGACCAATGGTAAGTTCTTACAAACTCGATTATTGCCTCCCTAGCAGTGGACTTCATCTCAAACCAGAAAATCACTTATCATGATGTTGTATCAATCGTCATTTTTTGTCGTGGTTAGGGCATGGATGGTGCTCGGGTTGAGAAAATCTTAGACATGGCATCTATTACTCTCAACAAGAACTCTGTCCCTGGTGAGTCTCTGCTCTTATTCTCTCGGTTTTCTTTTTCCCATTTGAAAAGATGTTAGTCAATTCCAAGAGAATCCGTTTTAGTATACAATATCAAGAAACAAGATCGGGTCTTTTGAAATGAAATCGATAAGCAGATATTGAAGAACACAACCGCTGAATCGATATGTGTGTGTGTTTGATTGTTGTTGAGACCATGTTGTTTGCTATATGTGAAAACAGGGGATAAAAGTGCGTTGGTTCCAGGAGGGATAAGGATAGGAACGCCAGCGATGACGACAAGAGGACTCTCAGAGAAAGATTTTGTGGCGGTTGCAGATTTGATCAAGGAAGGTGTGGAGATAACGATTGAAGCCAAGAAGGCGGTTACGGGAACAAAGCTTCAAGAATTCACCAAGCATGTGACTTCTCCTGATTTCCCATTGAAAGAGAGAGTGGAGAGTCTTAAGGAAAGAGTCGAATCCTTCACCTCTCGTTTCCCCATTCCTGGCGTTTAAAAAAGATGGGGTCTTCTGTTGTACCTTATCTTTTAGGGTTTGGGTCATTGCTTTGCTTGTGTCCCAAGTTTGAAAGCTGTATTTTGAATTCAGAGGTGTTCTAAAATAGAAATCTTTATTGCTATTTTTCAAAATCAATTTAAGGTTAAATGTGATTTTATTATTTGTTGTCAAATGACTTTTACG